CTGCAGTGATTTCACTGAATAAATACTGTTATGCCCTTAGTTTCATTTTCGGTTTCTTCCCTTTCTTGGGTACAGGTCCTGCTGGGAGACACAGGGTCTCACTTTGTAGTTTAGGTAGAGCTGGAATAAACTACATGACCCAATCAGGTCTCAAAGTCATGTCCATCCTCCTGACTCAGCCTTTTGAGTGCTGGGACTGTAGGCATGTGCTAGCAGCTTTAACACATACAATTCTTAAATTTGTTTAGAATCAATTTGGAGCTCATAGATCAACACCTCGTGTCTTGTTGGCTTTTGAGTACCAAAAGTAGTACAGTAGACCATATATGGTCTACTATATCAGTTATTTTCTCGTCCTTTAATACTGTCCTTAGACTGATCATGCCTGCTACAAAAATGTTCAACTGTTTTTCATTTGAAGATATCTGCCTAATTCCTTTTAAAAATCTCAAATTCATTACTAAAATTATCATTTATCCCCTGTGTTGTCTTCCTAAAATCATTCAGCTGTTTCTCTTCCTAAGCTCAATGATCATTTTATTACTGGAATATTTTGTCTTTTTGAGACCTGTTAATATCTTAGAAATTGCTTTCTATGTCTATTGGGCTCAATTTTGATCTCTGTGATTCTCTTAGCTATTATTTGAACTCTTTGTCTGGAACTTACTTCAGAGCTGGTGACCTCATTTGGGGAGTTATGAAGTTTTGGGGAGTTATGAAGTTTTGGGAGGCATGTTATTCCTTGTGATCTTCTATTTTTATATTTAATATTGTAGCTCTTTTAGAATGGAAAACTACATCACTGTACTGGAGCTCACTTAAGCAGTGGGTTTCCCCAGTGATATACCCTTACCTGTGGGTTTGAATCCATGCACAGACACCTATTCTACCTATTTAAATGAGGATTAACTGTTGAATTCTACAAGAAATTTAGAGAAGACCTAATGCCACTAGTGGCGAAACTTTCATGACACTGAAGGGGAAGCAATACTCCCAAAATTATTCCTTGAAGTAAGTATTACTCTGATACCAAAACCATAGAAGGATCCAATGAAAACTAGAGAGCTACGTGCAATGACCCAAATGAACATGGACACAAAAGTCCTTCATAAGATACTTGCAAACAGAATGCAGCAAATCATCAAGAAGATTAAACAACATAATTAAGTAGGATTCATCTCTAGGATGCAGGGATTGGTCAACATATGCAAATCAATGAACGTAATACACCATATTAACAGAGCCAAGAACAAAAGCCATATGATCATCAGAATAGACATAGAAAAAGCCTTTGACAAAGTCTAACACCTACTTATGATTAAAAGAAAAAAAACCTACAGAAAATAAGAATAGATGATATTTGCCTGACTCTGATAAAAGCCGTTTATGACAAACCAGCAAACTAAAAAGGTCAAAACTTAAATCTTTTACTCTAAAATCAGGAACAACACAAGGATGTCCACTGTCACCACTCAACTGTTCAATACAGTTCTACACACATTAGCCACAGCAATTATACAACGAAAAGAAATAAAACCAATCAGGATTGGAAGAACTTAAATTATCATTATTTTTGGAAGACGTGATACTCTACATAGAAGACCCCAAAAACTCCACCAAGACTTCTAGATTTAATAACCAAATTGCATAGCACAGCTGGATATAAAGTCAACACTCAAGAATCAAGAGTATTCTTGTACACAGCACACACAGAAATTAAGGAAACTGCACCTTTCACAATAGCATTGCAAAAAATGAAATACTAGGAATTATGTAATGAGGAAGTAAAAGACTTTTAAATTAATAGCTATGTTGCTCTGAAGAAGGTGATTGAAGAGAATATCAGAAAGTGGAAATTTATCCCATGCTTTTGGGAGGACCAATATAATGAAAATGGTCATACTGCCAAAATTATTATACAGATTTAATGCATTCCTGATCAAAATACCAATAGCATCCCTCATAGAATTAGAGAAAACAATCCTAAAACTCATGTGAAACCAGAAGAGACCTACAATAGCAAAGCAATTCAGAGTAACAAAGCAAAACCACACAGCAGGGGGCATAACAATCCCCAACTTGAAGCTGTACTACATACCTATCATGATAAAAACAGCATGGTACTGGCAAAAATAAAAAACTGATCCAAGGATCAGTGCAACAGAAAAGAATATGCAGAAATAAATTCAGAGACACTCAGCTAATTTATCATTAACAAAGTGGCCAAAGACATTCATTGCAGGAAAGATAGCCTCTTTAATAGTGGTGCTGGAAGAACAGGCTTTCCACATGGCAAAGACTAAAACTAGACCCATGTCTCCCATAATGCACTAAAGTAAAATTAAAATGGCTCAGTTATCTAAATATAAAAACAGGGGCTGGGGATCTAGCTCAGCGGCAAAAGCGCCTGCCTGGCAAGCGCAAGGTCGTGAGTTCGGTTCCCGGTACCGGAGAAAAACCAAAAACCAAAAAAAAAAATAATAATAAATAAATAAATATAAAAACAGAAACACTAAATCTGCTATAAGAGAGAACAGGTAGAACTCTTAAACACATAGGTATAGGCAAAGACTTCATGAACAAAGCCCTGATCCCACAGGAAGGATCACAAAGAATCAACAACTGGGATCTCATCCTATTAAAAAGTTTTTGCACAGCAAAAGAAACCACCAACGGACTGAAGAGACAACCCACAGTGTGGGGAAAAAATTTTCCAAGTGTTCCTCAGGTAAAGGACTAATATCTAGAATATGAAAAGTACTCAAAAATATCAGCCCCTCCCACCAAAGGAGACCCAATCCAAAAATGGGCATCTGAAATGAATAGCCACTTCTCAGATGAAGAAGTAGAAACAGCAAATAATATATGAAAAAAGGTTCAACATCACTGCTCCTTCAAATGGAAACTACACTGAGATCACTTTTCACTCCAGAAAAAAATGACAATAAGAAATCAACCAATAACAAATGCTGGCAAGGTGGTGGGGGGAAATGAACCCTTCTTTGCTGTTGGTGGCACTGTAGACTGGTGCAACCACTGTGGACAGCAATTTGGAGATTCCTCAAAACACTTGACAAAGAGAGTCCATTTGACCCAACTAGTCTTCTACTGGAATCTTCCCAAAATAATTAAAAGCATCATACCACAGTGATATCTGCACACCAGTGTTCATAGTAGCACAAATTGTTATAGCTATATCTTGGGAACAGCCTAAATGTTCATCAACCAATGAATGCCTAAAGAAGATATGGTGAACTACTGAACTACTGAACTACTACTCTGAACTGAACTACTACTCTTCCACACAGAACTACTACTCTTCCACACAGGAAAAAAAGCTTGAGCCATTTCTAGGTAAATGAATGCATCTTGAGTCCATACTTTCAAGTGGGATAAATCAGACACACATTTAAGTAATGCCTTGTTTTTCTTGTGTGAGAAATCAGCATGGTAAACAAGGAACACTGTCAACATACAATAGGCCAAGATAAACATTTTCATTCCAAAGAGAAGAAATAAGGAGGATACAAACCCTGGGAACAAAGCAAGTCAGAAATCCAGTACAGCAAACATTTAACTCTGTAGTTCCACATTAGGCACCAGGAGCATGTTATGACGAGATGTACAACCCAAAGGGCTTAGCAGCCTTGGCTATACACCACTGCAGCTCTCATGGTCTCTCTTTTGGGTTGGCTTTGCTCACTCCCTGTGGCTTTATTTGCATATTCCATATTCCTGTTGATGGCAGTATAGACTGCATACTCCAGGTTCCTTGTATTAGGAATAGGCCAGGGCTGTACTGTGTGACACTCGTAGCAAAGAAAGGTAGGTGAGACAGGGCTGGAGCCACTACCCTGTGTGTGCAGATAGCAGGGAGAAACCAATAGTTACATGACCACTTCATGCTCTAGATGAGTGACTAGTTTTAATGTGGCAGGGCTAGAGTGACTCTTCTTGTTGGGGGTGACAGAGCTGGGGAGTGGCCTGGGATGCTGTCCCCTCAGGGCCAGTTCTGCAGGGCTTTCCTTTCTGTCTGCTCTGGTTTTTAGCCTGCTATTTCTGAAAGCCAAAATGTGTGTCTAGAAGTGTGCCCATGGATGAAGTGGAAGTTTGATTTGTGAGTGTTCCTGGGCATCTGATTAAACTCCTTTGTCATCAATCCAGGCCTGATGTTCCCACATGTTGCCCCCTCCTGCCAGAATCTACTGACAATGGATATTTAATTTAAAAGCTTTTCTCCTTGGTAGCTAGTGGTACGCTATTACTTTTATCAACTTAAAAAAACGAATTATATGTTTCTGGATTTTTGTTTTTTAAAGCAGTTTGGGGTTTTTGAATAAAGAATTAGGATTGTTTGTTATAGAGGTACTGAGCGCATGCAAATCAGTACAGGGTAGGGCATATATGTTACAAAATAGGAAGGTGCAAGATTTTTCTCTGATCTATAGCACTTTGCACTTCAAGAAAGTGTGGTGATGCATGCCTGTAATCCCAGCTACTGAGGAGGCTGAGGCAGGAGGATTGCAGGTTAAAACTCAGAATGGGCAGTTTAAAAAGACCCTGTCTCAAAAAGACAGAGTTGGAGATAGAGCTCAGTACTTCTGAGGGAAAAAAGTTAGACAAACAGAAAAGGTGAAAAGCCATAGGCAAATGTTTCTCTGTGAGGAAAGAACTATAAATCAGTTCTTAAAATTATGTTTGATGCCACTTGCAGCACATTGCAGTGTATACAGTGGCCAGAGCACCAGGAATCCAAAACAATGCCTACGATTTGGATCCATACAGAATGATAAAAATTGGGGAAATACAATTTTCAAAATATCCCTAAAATTATATTTCACTCTACTGAAGTATTAATGACAACTTGTTTCTTTCATTAGATTTAAAATAGCTGGCTTTTGGGCAGTTTCAGTATATAAAACTCAGCAACACTGATTTTTACTTGCAAACACCACTTAAAAATTACAGATGTCAAGAAATAGTTCATAAATTTTCACATGTATATGATACAAATTTTTTTAATTCAACAAAGTTTTCATGTCCTACACTTTATGGGAAATAAAGTGTTATCTATAAAGTCCAATAAGTAAAATGTTATCTTTTCAGATCATGTATCTTTTCCTTAACATCTCCTTATATTCTTGTGATGCTTCTAAAATTAGATCTTCACTTGATTTATTATCAAATCTTCTGGGAGGAAATTTAAAGGCTCTAAGATCAGCAACAGCAGCTGGAAAGAAAAAGAAAGTTACAATCTTTATCTCAAGGACTTCAGTTAACTAAACATGAGTTATTACAACAACTGAGAACTTCATAAGTGATGATGAAAAGTACGTATTTTCAAGTATAACACAAAGTTATTACTAAACATAATGTGCCTCTAGTTGCACACTGAACTCATTATCATGTGGCTGACAGAACCATGTGCTAAGGTGCTAGAAGGACAAGAGGATGATGCAGGGGCCAATCTGACAGTGTACGCCAGACAACCAGGCAGACTCCACACAGATACTGTGACAGGTAGAAAGTGGCATTGCTGGAACACACAGAGGCCTGCACCCATTTCATGTCATTACTGCAGGATCTTGTGGGGAGGTGATATGGAAGGCGGCACCTCAAGTATAAGGAGAAAGCATATCAGGATGGGGGAAGGGGGACAGGAGATGGGGGAGGCAGAGCACAGGGGCAGAGGAAGGCAGGTGGGCGGAGACAAGAATCCAAGTGATCTGGGTATTTTTATTCCATGCTAAGGAATCTGAAGTTTCCCTGAAGGCACAGGTAAACCAATGACAAAATCAGCGACAGGAGCTTTAAAACAAAACTTGTCAAGTGACAGTTTATGAGCGGGAACTGCTTGACTCCTCCTAGAGGAGTGGGAATTCTGGCCATGAATTCAGCTGAGAAGCTGAAGCCTCTGGTTTTCAAGGAAAGCATCAGCCGAGTCTCAGGGGACAGCCATGGAGGGGAAGGGCTGAGCTAGGGAAAGAGGTACACAGGCTTTCTGAGACTTTTAAAAGGTATGAAACATGACAAGATGAGGACTCAGGATTCCTTTATTGGAAATGTTTCTATTTCACACCTTTCATTTGATGGTATAAAACATTGTAGACTATATTACCCAATGAAAGAAAAGAGATGCCATTTCCAATTTATGGCTTATTTCAAAAATCAATAAATATAAATTTAATTCATACATTTTGGGAATAGGCTACTGGCATACCTCCCTCACAAGCCTGGGAGCCAGGCAGAAACCTGGACAGCTTTAGGGGCCTGGGAGCCACTCCCCACCTGCCCCCCCCACTGAAGCTGAGCTGAACCTTGAACAGCTTTGCAAAGGCCTGTGAGCTGGCCCCACCTCTGCCCCACCAGTTTGGGAGACAGGGGGAGCCCCAGACAACCTCAAGGGCCTTGGATGTCCCTCCCTGCCCCCAACCCACACCCTCAGGGGAGCAAAGCTAAAACTCACTTCAGGGGCCTCAATGACTACACGCTTACCGCCACTCCCCCGACTCATGTGGGAACTGGGCTGGATGGAAGCAGTGTATGGAGTCACTGAGACAACAACCCGCACACAAATACACCCCAGTGGAAAAAAGGGCTGAAACCCAGATAGCTTTGCAAACCCCTGAGTAGGAACCAAGCTGAGCCCCAGACAGCTGTGGGAGCATTGGGGATCACACCCTGCCCTCACACACAACATGGAGGGAGTCACACTGAGCACTGGGGACCTTTGGGCCCTTGCCCTGCTACTATCACATCATCTGAGGGTGAGGCTGAGCCCCCAGGAAGCTCTAGATCTCTGAAAATGACAAAACAAAGGAGCAAAATGCAATTGCAGACCTCTATCACACCCAGAACAGTCCAGGATATAGCAATATGGAAGAGTTTGGAAATTAAACACCTGAAATTTCTGAAATGCTACCAGCTAAAGTAAAGAAACAACTCCATCAGACCATTGAAGACATCAGATCAGAAATAATCTCTCAGGTTAAAAAAAGAAATGACAAAAATAATGAAAGAATTGCTTAGCACATCTAAAGAAGACATAGAAAAAAGAAGAGGACCACAGTAAATTAATGGAAATCTTGAATGAACACTATAGAAAAGAACTGGAATGCATGAAACAGATTCAAACAGATATCTGAGAAATTAAAACTGAAATCAAAAGCTGACAAAACCGCTTGAACAAAGCTGAAGATAAACTTTCAGACCCTAAAGACAGCATCGCTGTGAACGACCATGAATTGAAAGATCACTTAAAAATAACAAGAAACCAAGAAATAACAATTCAACAGCTAAAAGATGAAGCAAAGAAAAACAATGTAAGATTAATAGCTATCAATAAAACAGCATGTGTTAGCACAAATGACATAAAAAGATGATCTGCAAAAATAATAGCAGAAAGTTTCCCAAGCCTGGAAAAAGAAATGGACATCCAGGTAAGGGAGGCATATAGAACACCAACTAGCCATAACCAAAATAAATCTACACTCAGACATATAGTGATCAAGATGCCAGAATTTCAACTAAAGTACAGAATATTAAAAGCTGTTAGAGAAAAGAAGCAGATCACCTGTAAAGGAAAGCCCATCAGAATCATAGCACATTACAAAACACAAACCATTAAGTCAACAAGAGCTTGGAGTAAAATATTTCAGGTCCTGAAAGAAAACAACTGTCAACATAGAATGATGTACCCTGCAAAACTATCCTTAAAAAATAATGGAGAAGTAAAATATTTCAACAATAAAGATCAACTGAAGAACTTCAAGTGCCAAACCAACCCGACAAATAATACTAAAGGATATTCTATTTCACACCTTTGTTTCTATTTCACACCCTTCATTTGATGGTATAGAATACCATCAAATGAAATAGAAACTAAAGGTGTGAAAGAGATAAAAAAAAAAAAAGCCCACAACTTTCACAACAGCAACAGAAAGGAACCACCAAGCACAGCAAGCAATTAAACAGAGGGAAACAAGAGGAAACAAAAGCAGGAAAACAACATGACAAAGATAAACCAATATATATCAGTTATAACCATCAATGTAAATGGTCTCAATTTACCAACCAAAAATAGTAGACTCACAGACTGGATCAAGAAACAAAATATACCAATATGCTGCAGACAAGAAACACATTTAACTCAAAAGGAAATGCTCAGACTGAAAATCAAAGGATGGAAAACAAAACTCCATGTGACAGCTACCCAGAAAAAAGCAGGTGTAGCTATTCTGTTTGCGGACAATGGAAACTCCAAGAACAATTAAAAGAGATAAAGAAGGTCATACTTACTTGTGAGGGGAAAACTTCAAGAGATAAAGAAGGTCATACATACTTGTGAGGGGAAAACTTCAAGAGGAAATGACAACAATCACAAACATCTATGTGCCAAACACAGGAGCATCCAACTATATAAGACAAATTTTAACAACATGGAAAATGAAATAAGCAGCACCACAATCACAACAGGGGACTTCAATGCACCACTGTCAGAAAGAGATAGATCAGGCTGGGGGTTTAGCTCAGCGGCAAAAGCGCCTGCCTGGCAAGCGCAAGGTCGTGAGTTCGGTTCCCGGTACCGGAGAAAAAACAAAAACAAAAACAAAAAAAAAAAGAAAGAGATAGATCAACTACACAAAAAATTAGCGAAGAAATGACAGAACTAAACCAAACATGTGAACAAATGGATGTAGAAGACCTGTACAGAGTCTTCCACCCAACAGCATCACAATAAACATTCATCTCAGCTGCACATTGGACATTCTCTTAAACAGACCATATACTAGCACACAGAATATGCTTAAGGAAATGCAAGGGAGTTGAAATTATCTCATGCATACTATTGGATCACACTGCAATGAAGTTGGAAATTAATGACAAAGGAAACCACAAAAACTCCATAAACACATGGAAATTAAAAAGTACCCTCCTGAATAATCAGTGGGTCACAGATGAAATCAAAGAATCCATTAAACACTATGTACACTCAAACAAAAATGTAGATACAATGTACAGGAACCTGTGGGATGCAATGAAAGCAATCCTCAGAGGGAAATTGAAAGCAGTGAATTCCCACCTTAGGAAAACAGAAGGAGCACAAATAAACAATCTTATGCTGCACCTCCAGCTCCTAAAAAAAGAAGAACCAATCAAACCCAAAGCCCAGAGAAAGCAGGAAATTATAAAGTTCAGGGCAGAAATTAATGCAGTGGAGACTAAAGAAACAATACAAAGAATTAATCAATCAAAGAGTTGCTTCTTTGAAAAAATAAATAGAATTGATAAACCCCTAGCCAACCTTATTTTAAAAAGGAAAGAAACAGCTGAAATACATGCAATAAGAAATGAAAGAGATGAAATCACTACAGATCCTGTAGAAATTCAGAAGATCAACAATACCTACTTTGAAAATCATTCTGCTCACAGAATGGAAAATGTGGAGGAAATGGACAGATTTCCAGATATATATGAACTACCAAAGCTGAATGAAGAAGATATAAAAATCCTGAATATATCAGCAAGTGACATGGAAAATGTGATAAAAACTTGCCAATGACGAAAAGTGCAGGTCCTCATGGATTCATGGCCGAATTCTATAAGAAATTTAGAGAAGATTTAATACCAATTCTTCTCAAACTCTTTAAGGAAATTGAAAAGGAAGAAATTCTCCCTAACTCATTCCTGGAGGCAAATATTATCCTGATACCAAAACCAGAGAAAGACCCAACCAAAAAAGAAAACCACAGGCCAATCTCCCTAATGAACATAGATGCAAAAGTTCTCAGTAAAATACTAGCAAACAGAATGCAACAAATCATCAAGAAGATTATACACCATGAGCAAGTGGGACTCTTCCCCCGAATGCAGGGATGGTTCAATCTATGTAAATCAGTTCATCTAATACATCATATAAACAGACCCAGGGACAAAAATCACATGATCATCTCAATTGATGCAGAAAAAGCTTATGATAAAGTCCAACAATTCTTCATGATAAAAACCCTACAGACAATTGGCATAGATGGACTTTACCTCAATCTGATAAAAGCCATCTGTGACAAACCAACAGCTAACATCATTCTAAATGGTCAAAAATCGAAAGCTTTCAATCTACAATCAGGAACAAGACAAGGATGGCCACTGTCATCACTCCTATTCAATATACTTTTGGTAATATTAGCCAGAGCAATTAGACAAGAGAGAGAAATAAGAGGAGTAAGGACACGAAAAGAAGAAGTGAAATTATCATTCTTCACAGATGACCTAATACTCTATATAAAGGACCCCAAAGACTCCACCAAAAGGCTTATAGATTTAATAACAAAATTCAGTAGCATAGCTGCATACAAAGTGAAAACTCAAACATCAATAACATTCCTGTACACAAACAACAAGCAGACTGACAGAGAAATTAGTGAAACCATACCTTTCATAATAGCATCTAAAAAAATGAAATACTTAGGAATCAATCTAACAAAAGAAGTCAAAGATCTATTCCCTGAAAACTGAAGTACTCTGAAAAAAAGAGATCGAAGACCATTTTACAAAATGGAAAGGTATTCCTTGCTCATCATTAGGAAGAACCAACATGGTGAAAATGGCCATACTCCCAAAATTGTTGCACAGATTCAATGCAATCCCAATTAAAATACCACCAGTATACATCACAGATGTAGAGAAAATATTCCTAAAATTCATCTGGAACCAAGAGACCCAGAATACCAAAAGCAATCCTGGGCAACAAAGGCAAGGTGGGAGATATCACAATCCCTGACATGAAATTATGCTAAAAGCTACTATGATCAACACAGCATGGTACTGTGGAATTAAAGATGAGGAAAAGGCATGTGGCGAGGACTCAAATTACCAAGATGTAATTCTGTCCTGCAGCTGTGCACGTTGGGAATTGAAGTCCCCGAGGAGAGGCGAGATGGTGTTCCCGGTGTGCAGTACCAGAGGCTGTGCCTGTGTAGGAGAGGCTGGAGATGGAGGGAGAGGCAGGAGGCGCAGTAGCTGAGGCCCGCCTGTGCTGGTGGCTTGAGGGAGCTAGAACCTAAGTGTGGTCTGGAGGTTTCACTTGCTGGGCCGCCCTTCCTGGGGTGTTCCTAAGCCATCCCCTGGTGGGCCCTTTCCCAATTTTAGTCCATAAGTACTTATACAAAAGATGGCTGACATAAACCTCAAAGAAGTAACCTTAATTGTAGGCGTGGTTACTGCCTGCTGCTGGAACAGCCTATTCTGTGGTTTTGTTTTTGATGATGTTTCAGCAATACTGGATAATAAAGATCTGCATTCATCTTCACCTTTAAAAACTTTGTTTCACAATTTCTGGGGAACTGCTATGTCCAAGGAGACAAGCCACAAGTCCTACCAACCTTGAACAGTATTGACATTTTGCTTAAACTGTATGTTTAGTGAACTAAAATAAATGTCATATCATCTCCTAAATAGGATTTTTCATGCTATGGTTAGTATGGTATTTCTTAAAGTCTGCAAACTTTTTCGGGAAAACAAGAGTGGTGTGATTGCTGCTCTGCTTTTTGCAGTGCACTCAATACATACAGAAGCAGTAACAGGCATTGTAGGAAGAGCAGAACTTTTGTCATCTATCTGTTTCTAGTTGCATTTTTGTCATATACAAAGTCAAAAGGACCAGATAATTCCATAGTGTGGACTCCCAGCTGCATTGATAGTGTTTTTAGTGGCTGTTGCAACACTGAATAAAGAATAAGGCATGACAGTTGTGGGAATATGTTGTGTATATGAGATATTTATCACCCAGGGCTGTACTTTGCCATTATTTTGTACTACTGCTGCACAGTTTCTCTGTGGAAAGAGTAGTATTCCATTTTCTCTGCTGCAGACCCTAATAAAACTCACTGTCTTGATGTTCAGTACATTATTACTTGTACTGATACAAGTCAGTCCAGCTTAATCAGTCCCAGCTTCCAGTATTTACAAGAATACAGCTGTGGTGCCACATACCTGTAATCCCAGCACTCAGGAGGCTGAGGCACTTTGTTTAAAAGCATTACCATTTATTTCTGCATCAAACCATTTTTTTCCTGTTGGATATGTTGTTGCTGAGCAAATACTATATGTTCCTAGCATGGGATTGTGTATTTTGGCAGCCCCTTGATGGCAGGAAGTTTCAAAGAAAAGGTGAATTAAAATTGTATTTTAAAAGCTATCCTGGGCCATGGTGATACTTACTCATGCCTTAAAAACACTTCACAGAAATTGGAACTGGGAGGCTGAATATACAATATTTATGTCAGCCTTGAAGGTAAATAAAAATAACACAAAATTATGGAATAACGTTGGTCATGCTTTGGAAAATGAAAAGCACTTTGAGAGAGCTTTGAAATACTTCTTACAGGATACCCGCGGTCAGCCAGGTGATATTGGTGCCCACATGAATGTAGAAAGAACTTACAAAAACTTAAATGGAACCAGAGAAGCTGAAGGATCTTACATGATGGCTAGGTCACTGATGCCTCAAATTATTCCTGGTAAAAAAATATGCAGCCAGAATTGCTCCTAACCACCTAAATGTTTCTATCAATCTGGCCAACCTAATCCAAGCACATGAGTCCCGACGAGAAGAAGCAGATCAGCTGTACCAACAAGCAATAAACATGAGGCCTGACTTCAAGCAGGCTTGTATCAGCAGGGAAGAATTGCTCTTAAAAATGAATAAACCTCTCAAAGCAAAGGAAACATATCTTAAAGCACTAGAGTTGAAAAGAAATAATGCAGATCTTTGGTACAACTTGGCAATTGTGTACACTGAACTGAAAGAGCCAAATGAAGCCCTAAAAAACTTTAATCATGCTTTAGAACTAAATCCAAGGCATAAGCTAGCATTATTTAATTCTGCTATATTGATGCAGGAGTCAGGTGAAGTGAAACTCAGACCTCAAGCTAGAAAATGAATTTTGAACTATGTAAAGGAAGAGCCACTAGATGCTAACAGTTATTTGAATTTGGGAATGCTTACCATGGATGATAAAAAGGACACTGAGGCAGAGATTTAGATGTAAAAAAGCCATTAACTTACAAGCTGACTTCAGGAGTGCTTGGTTTAATCTGGTTTAATCTTGGTTTAATCCTCTATTCTCAGACTGCAAAGGAATTAAAGGCTCTGCCAATTTTAGAAGAGTTACTCAAATACTATCTTGATCATATCAAGGGTCTCATTTTAAAAGGAGACATTCTGATGAATCAAAAGAAAGATATACTTGGAGCAAAAAAATTTTTTGAAAAAATCTTAGAGATGGATCCAACCAATGTGCAAGGGAAATACGATCTTTGTGTGGCTTGTTTTGAGGAGAAGGACTTATTAAAAGCAGAATGATGTCTGGTTGAAACATTGGCATTAGCACCACATGAAGAATATATTCAGCACCATTTGAGTACAGTCAGGGATGAAATCTCCTCCTCTGGTTTTGTAGAACAGCCAATACTCCTAGCTGGTAAGAGTACAGGTGGAGAAGAAGGAGACAGAATTCCAAATAAAAATGAAAAAGAAATCAGAAGTGAGTCTAGGCCAACACAGGTAACAAAAATAAGTGATGGTCAAAGTCAATCTAGACCCAATAAACAACTGGAGGAAAATACAGATGAAGAGGCCCCCCGAAAAACAAAAGACATCAAAGAAATTGAGAAGAAAAGAGTTACTGCTTTTAAAAGACTATTTTAAATGGAGAATAACATTATTCTTTATCAGATGACAATGGTATCAAAGGACTTTTATCATGTGATTTTTTTTGTACTGGGAGCTTTGAAAAATATGGATCTGTAATTCTCTTATGAGATGCCTCTACATGGGATGAAAGTAAGATTTTTCATAAGACCTGTCTTACCCAAGGATATGTATTACACACGATATGGCGGAAGTTTTTAAGTTTGGTGAATATGGCAGAAATGTATTAAATTGCAAGTGACAAGTTTGCAACTTCTCTTACATAAGGAAGAATTTCTTGACAGGATGATGTTTACTACTCTAAATTTAAAATCATTTGAGGCTGATTGGTGATCCCTTGACAAATCTAGCGTATGCTGTTTTATTCTGTGAATTCTCATTTATTAACCTACTTCATTTTCCTCTTACCTCTTGGAACCTGGTGATGGTTGGAACTGACACTTTTTCTTCAGCAATTCTTCTGTTAAACCGAGGGATTTTGTACTAAAAAAGCATACTGGTTTCTTTACGTTATGTTCTTTGATTTATTGGAGTGCTGGGCAAATGTTTTAAAATCAAACATATAACATGTTAGTTTAAGAATGTATTTTCCTAAGTCCATATTTGTCCTTAATTTAACTCCAAAATTCAGTTTTCAACAAGGTAAGGTTTGTACACACACGTATATACATACATACACACATATCTGATGGTGCTCATGAATACTGTAGTTTTCTTTTTCACATCAAGTGCCACAACATGAACTACATAAACATGACTGTTCTTTGACTTTCACCCCAAATTCTTGTTTCTTAGGGGCACATTCATATTTAGAAGTCTCAGTAACTTTAAACTTTTAAGGAATAATAGTAAGCTTCTCTTTCTTCTTAGTGTTGACTCTCTGATTTCAATTTTAACTTTGTTTCCAAAGTCATACCTTACTCATTCTTAGATACCTTAAGCCACTAAATTTCACTTTTCAACTAAAGGCAAAACAATGTGATAGTTTTTTTTTTTATTTAAAAAGTAAAAGAACAAAAACATACTAACAAACACACACACAATTACAAAATAACACAAGAACAGTACAAGCAATACTGAAATTCAGACACAGTGATAGGAAATTAACAATGGTTGCTGGATTACATATTGATTTCTTCAAAGTGGTTATTCAGGAAAACAAATATAGACACCTAAGATTGATCAAATAATTAATCATTAACTGTTCCTTTCAAAAAAGCGATAGAAGCAGTGACAGTTTATTTTTAACACTAAATTCTCAATATGTTCTTGTGGTACATATTTTTATTAAATACTATTTATTTTGACTACTCAACTTTCATAAAAATTTTAAAGCTGTTTTAATTCTGTAAAATATGGACAACTAATTGCTAGTGCATTTGCCTCTATGTACTATATATATTATGGTTTAAAAAAATTCTGTCACTTTTGGCCTTTCTCCAATTATAAAAATAATAACCTAATATCTGATTAATAAATTTGTCATTCAGTTTTAAATCTGGAAAAAACATTAGGTTAAAGGGAGATATAAATCAAATTTGATAACTGTGATGTTTTTATTAAGATCTATTTCAGATGAGTTTTATAATAATAAAGTCAATTTAGTTTAAAATGTTAAAGTTCAAGCTATTATTCTGGGATAGTAATTTCTAATTATACAGAATTTCAAAAACTATTTTTAGTTCCTTTGAAATAACTAATTTCTAACTGTATGTGTCTCAGAAACCATATTCCTGTAATTTTTTAAGAAATGTTTTGTAAATATGTCATAAGAAACATGGTATGCATTAAAGACCTAGGTTTATTGAGTTCCCAGAGGATATGACATAGACTTTTCTTTCTTTCTATTTCTCTTTCTTAAAGGCAATTTAAAGCAAGTACTAGTATCAGGGGTTTTAATACCTGACCCAAGAGATTCTGTTAAACATCAGAATCTGGTTTCAGTTCTTAGATTGAGGCTTTGTGACTTCATATATAAGGTGGAGAATACCTCATATACTGTGACTTGAAAAATTAAATTATGTTAATTTATTTTCTCCATATATCCTGAGGAAAGGTTTCTTGAGTGTGATCTCTTAAGGTACAGTATTAAGCGAAGGACAGTTCAGAAAAGTCATAGGAAATCGTTTATGACAGCAGACTATCATAAAAGTTTGAGTTGCATTTTAATAAATTGTTCTATTTATTCACATGATAAAAGCTATAAATGTTATCCAGTGATTTCTAATGGAAAATTCTTACTAGCACTTAGTATCTATCACATAGGAAATAGTATATATTTCAATTTTAAGTAATTTACTTAAATCAGATCCATCCCATCATTATTATTCAAATCAAAGTCTCAGTATAGACACCACATTAGTTAAATATGAAGTTCTAGAAGATGGAACCATGCTTCAAATTTTTCCCTACACTTCTCTCAGATTCTAATTTGTTACTAGTGTTAAGGACTGCTGCTCTAAATTACTTTAGTAAATTTATCTCTCGTGTTAATCTGTTAAAGTAGTAATATAACTCAATTGAGTTTTGATGGTTTAAGTTTCATGAAGGAGCACGTTCTGTAACCAATACTCATTGAAGGAAAATATGTAAGTTGCTTATGTGTAAAATTGCAATGTCTCACCTATGAATTCAAAATAACACTATTCAAATTGTTCAAGTGAGAAATGGTAATGGACTTTTTTTCCCCTAGAGCTTCCTCTGTAAAGAGCTAATGGGGACAGGTAAGCCCAGTTCACTAAGCCATGGTTTGGGAGTTGTAGATGTCTGTTAAATTTGGCAAAGAAACCCTGTCATAGGTTTGTGTCCTGGTAAATGGATGTAGTTTTATTTCTCGCTATTTTGCAAAATCTTCTACTCTCCAGGAGCTCTAGCAAAGCATTGACAATCCCTAAGGAGCAGTGTCTTTTGATTCCTTCACTACTTCCCAGAAGGTAAAATGAAGTTTCTCAAGTTGCTTCTATGTGTGTTGCCTTATTAACATTTGGAAATGGGAATTTAAAATTATTTCAGTAAGTAGTGCTCAACTTGATGTGGACAATAAAATAATGCAATGTGTTAAAAAAAAATCACCATGGTACAGGCAAGAAAACAGACCAGAAGACCAATGGAAGAGATTAGAAGATGTGGACACAGCTACCAACACACTGAGCCAACTTATTCACTGGAAGTAAGATAACCTCTTTAATAAATGATACTGGATTGTAATCCGACTTCTCAGCACAAACCATCCAATCGAGAAGAGCTTGGACTGAAATATTACAGGTCCTGAGACAGAACAGCTTCCACCCAAGACTGATGTACCCTGCAAATCTATCCCTCAAATTCAACAGAGAAATAAAATATTTTCATGACAAAGAACAGTTGAAGAACTTCATGAGCTCCAAGCCAGCATTACAAAGAGTACTAAAAGATATTCTGGACAGAGAAAAATATGACC